GGCGCACCTCAATACATAAGGCAACTGCTAACATCTATAAAAGAGGAAATCGACAGTAACACAGTAATAGTGGGGGACTTTAACACCTCACTTACACCAATGGACAGATCATCCAAACAAAATTAATAAGGAATTACAAGCTTTAAATGACAGAATAGATCACATAGATTTAATTGATATTTATAGGACCTTCCATCCAAAAACAGCAGTTTACACATTCTTCTCAAGTGCACATGGGACATTCTCCAGGATAGATCATATCTTGGGTCACAAATCAAGCCTCGGTAAATTTAAGAAAATTGAAAGCATATCATGCATCTTTTCTGATCACAACGCTATGAGATTAGAAATCAGTTGCAATGAAAAAAAATGTAAAAAATACAAATATATGGAGGCTAAACAACACGTTAATAAATTACCAAGAGATGACTGAGAAATCAAAGAGGAAACCAAAAAATACCTAGAAACAAATTACAACAAAAACACGATGATCCAAAACATATGGGATGCAGCAAAAGCAGTTCTAAGAGGGAAGTTTATAGCAGTACAAGCCTACCTCAAGAAACAAGAAACATCTCAAGTAAACAGTGTAACCTTACACCTAAAGTAACTAGCGAAAGAAGAAAAAACAAAACCCAAAGATAGTAAAAGGAATGGAACCATGAAGATCAGAGGAGAAATAAATGAAATCGAGACAAAGAGAACAATAGCAAAGATCAATAGAACTAGTAGCTGGTACTTTGACAAGATAAACAAAATTGTTAGAAACATTAGCCAGACTCATCAAGAAAAAGAGGGAGAGGGCACAAATCAATAAAATTAGAAATGAAAAATGAGAAATTACAACAGACACCACAGAAATACAAAGCATCCTAAGAGACTACTAAAAGCAACTCTATGCCAATGAAGTGGACAACCTGGAAGAAATGGGCCAATTCTTAGAAAGGTATAACCTTCCAGGACAGAACCTGGAAAAAATAGAAAATTTGAACAGACCAATCACAAGTAATGAAATTGAAACTGTGATTAAAAATCTTCCAACAGGTCTTTCCTGGTGGCACAGTGGTTGAGAGTCTGCCTGCCGATGCAGGGGACACAGGTTCGTTCCCCGGTCTGGGAAGATCCCACATGCCACGGAGCGGCTGGGCCCATGAGCCATGGCCACTGAGCCTGCACATCCAGAGCCTGTGCTCCACAACGGGAGAGACCACAACAGTGAGAGGCCCACGTACCGCAAAAAAAAAAAAAAAAAAAAAGAAATCTTCCAACAAACAGAAGTCCAGGACCAGACAGCTTCACAGGTGATTTCTGTGAAACATTAGGGAAGAACTAACACCCATCCTTCTCAAATTATTTGAAAAAATTGCACAGGAAGGGACACTCCCAAACTCATTCTATGAGGCCACCATCACCCTGATACCAAAACCAGACAAAGATACTACAAAAAAAGAAAATTACAGACCAATATCACTGATGAATATGGATCCAAAAATCCTCAACAATATACTAGCAATCAGAATCCAACAACACATTTAAAGGATCATACACCATTATCAAGTCAGATTTATCCCAGGGATGCAGGGATTCTTCAATATAGGCAAATCAATCAATGTGATACACCATATTAACAAACTGAAGAATAAAAACCTATGATCGTCTCAGTAGATGCAGAAAAAAGCTTTTGACAAAATTCAACACCTATTTATGATAAAAAGTCTCCAGAAAGTTTGCAGAGAGGAAACCTACCTCAACATAATAAAGGTCATATACGGAAAACCCACAGCAAACATCATTCTCAGTGGTGAGAAACTGAAAGCATTTCCTCTAAGATGAGGAACAATACAAGGATGTCCACTCTCACCACTATCATTCACATAGTTTTGGAAGTCCTAGCCATGGCAATTAGAGGAGAAAAAGAAATAAAGGTATTCAAATCGTAATAGAAGAAGTAAAACTGATACTGTCCGCAGATGACATGATAGTATACATAGAGATTCCTAAAGATGTCACCAGAAAACTACTAGAGCTAATCAATGAATTTTGTAATGTTGCAGGACACAAAATTAATGCACAGGAATCTCTTGCATTCCTATACTCTAATGATGAATAACCTGAAAGAGAAATTAAGGAAACACCCTCATTTACCATTGCAGCAAAAAGAGTAAAATACCTAGGAGTAAACCTACCTAGGGAGACAAAAGACCTGTATGCAGACAACTATAAGACACTGATGAAAGAAATGAAAGATTATACAATCAGATGGAGAGATATTCCATGTTCTTGGATTGGAAGAATCAATATTGTGAAAATGACTATACTACCCAATGCAATCTACAGATTCAATTCAATCCCTATCAAATTACCAATGGCATGTTTTAGAGAACTAGATCAAAAATATTAAAATTTGTATGGAGACACACAAACGACCCCAAATACCCATAGCAGTCTTGAGGGGGAAAAACGGAGCTGGAGGAATCATACTCTGTGACTTCAGACTAGAGCTACAGTAATCAAGACAATATGGTGCTGGCACAAGCACAGAAATATAGATGAATGGAACAGGATAGAAAGCCCAGTGATAAACCCATAAACCCACACACCTATGGTCGACTAATCTATGCCAAAGGAAGCAAGGATATACAATGGAGAAAAAACAGTGTCTTCACTAAGCGGTGCTGGGAAAATGGACAGCTACATGGAAAAGAATTAAGTTAGAACACTCCCTAACACCATACACAAAAATAAACTCAAAATGGCTTAGAGACCTAAATGTAAGATCAGACACTATAAAACTCTTAGAGGAAAGCATAGGAAGAACACTCTTTGACATAAATAACAGCAAGATCTTTTTTGATCCACCTCGTAGAGTAATGGAAATAAAAACAAAAATAAAGAAATGGGACCTAATGAAACTTCAAAGCTTTTGCAGAGCAAAGGAAACTATAAACAAGATGAAAAGACAACCCTCAGATTGGGAGAAAATATTTGCAAACAAATTAATGGACAAAGGATTAATCTCCAAAATATACAAGCAGCTCATGGAGCTCAATTTTAAAAAAAACAAAAATCCAATCCAAAAATGGGCAGCGGACCTAAATAGACATTTCTCCAAAGAAGACATACAGATTGCCAAGAAGCACATGAAAAGCTGCTCAACATCACTAATTATTAGAGAAATGCCAATCAAAACTACAATGAGATATCACCTCACACCAGTTAGAATGGGAATCATCAGAATATCTACAAACAACAAATCCTGGAGAGGGTGTGGAGAAAAGGGTACCCTCTTGCACTGTTGGTCGGAATGTAAATTTATACAGCCACTATGGAGAACAGTATGGAGATTCCTTAAAAAACTAAAAATAGAATTACCATATGACCCAGCAATCCCACTACTGGTCATATACCCAGAGAAAACCATAATTCAAAGAGATACATACACCCCAATATTCATTGCAGCACTATTTACAATAGCCAGGTCATGAGAGCAACCTAAATGCCCATCGACAGACGAATAGATAAAGAAGTTGTGGTACATATATACAATGGAATATTACTCAGCCGTAAAAAGGAACAATATTGTGTCATTTGTAGAGACGTGGATGGATCTAGAGACTGTCATACAGTGTTAAGTAAGTCAGAGAGAGAAAAAAAATATCGTGTATTAACCCATATTTGTGGAACCTAGAAAAATTGTACAGATGAACCAGTTTGCAGGGGGCAGAAATAGAGGCACAGATGTAGAGAACAAACTTATGGACACCAAGGGGGGAAAGTGACAGGAGGGTGTTGGTGTGGTGAAATGGGAGATTGGGATTGACATATATACAGTAATATGTATAAAATGGATAACTAATAAGAACCTGCTGTAGAAAAATTAAATATATAAGATTCAAAAATTCAAAAAAAATAGTAAGAACCTAACATCCTGCCTGGCCTGATGTATGCCTCAGTTAATGTTAGCTTCCTCTTTTACTTTTTTCCCTCTGGTGAAAAGCACATTCCTTACAGATCAGAGGTCCCTCAGTTCTGTGCTGGCTTCTTGCCCAGCAACAGATTGCCTGTAGAAATAAACCATGGGTGAGGTATTTTTTTCTTTTTGTCTATGTGTTCCCCGTGCTGCTTCTTCGAATACCTGGCACACTGTAGGGGCTCAGTGAGTTTAGATTTCCTATGTGACAACACAAGCCTTTTACGTGAATTTCCCAACGTGGTGCTGAGAGGACTGCAGAATGTCAGCCTTAATCTGTGACAAACTAGTATTCTTAGTGCTCCTTTGGAGACTGTGTGATTTCTTGTTGTGCTGAGAGGCAGAGAGCTTAATTAAATTTCATACTTGAAGAGAGTGACGACTGAGTACTCCATCCTTCATAAGGCTTTTCAACTCGTTATTTTCATTTAAACCTTCATTTAAACCTTAAATGAAGTACTAGTCTGGTCATCTGCCATTTTCCTCATCTTTAAACTCATCTTTTTATATGCAATACTTAAATGCTTGAACCATCTCAAAGAACTCATCATTCACAGAGGCAGTCTTAGGTTCCAATTGCCTTGGAGATATTTTACTTAGTATTTGGCTGTCTAAATGCATTGTAGATTAACATTTAAAAGGTATATTCACTGTTCACTATTGTGTTCCTTCTTTGTCCTTTAAAAAATTAATATAGTTAATGCATGTGAAAAATATTGAGAAGAAAAGGTAACCTGCACACAGGTGCATTTTAAGTGCCATTCTCTGAGCAGCAGCTCCCAGAGCCTTTAGCTATACCAATAGGAACTACCCTTTGTGTAGGTGGAATTTTTCAAGGTTATGTTTGAGGAAGCTGAAATTTCTGAGACCAATGCAGAAATTAATTCTCTCTTGCTTTTTTTTTTTTCCTTACTGGGAACTAGAGAGATTCACCACATGAAACCTGACACTGTGTTATGCATTCTCATTTCTGAGCAGACTGAATTAAAATTGTAGACATGTTAATCTGTGCCTTCTCTCCCACCTCTAGGAGCGGAAAAAGAAATTTGAAAAGGATGGAGAGAGGTTTTATTCCTTGCTGGATCGGCACTTACATTTGTCTTCCAAAAAGAAAGAATCTCAGTTACAAGAGGTATGGTCAAACAGCCTGCCCTGCCTTCTATTGCCAGCTGTGCCTTGATACATGGTAGCTTCCTATTGCAAGGCTTTCCTCATACCCTGCCTCAACAGAGAAGCATGTATAATAGTTGTGCTTGCAGATAAAACCATGGACAATGACTCAGGAGCCCTGAGTTCTCAAGCCACCTCCTCCACAAACTCACAGTTTGGATAAGATATTTCTTTTCTGTCCTCAGTTTCTCTATCTATCAAAGGAAGAGTGGTACTCAAAGATCTCTAGAGTCCTTTTCAGTTCTAAGTTTCTGATTCTAGATTACATATTAGGATAGAGTTAAACTAACGCTGTATTTGATAGATCAGGAGTAGATCTACTTTTTTCCCATGAGGTGTTCCAACGGTAGGGTTTGTTTTTTTTTTCTTTTTGGTCCTACACTGGGACTACAGCTTATATGGCACTTCCACTGACTTCAGTTCAAAGAAGCCACTACTCAGTGAGTGCCTACCACATGCCAGGCACTATGCTGGTTGCAACAGAACTACAAAGACAGTAAGACGTACTTCCTGCTCTTCTGCAGCTTACAGTTAGGATGCTAAAATGAGAACACACATGACTCTTATACAGGTAGAATTTTTTTTACATAATGTAATGTGTATGTGGTGTCCTTGTAGGGATATGAAGGTATTTGGAGAATAAAAAACTTGCATTTGGACGTGGAGAATTGCCTTTGTGGAAGAATGTTGCCCTTCTAAATTTGAGGTGGTAATATGATTATATGTAAAGTGTTTGACAGATAGAAATATAGAAATGGACCTTTCAAATGGAGGGCAGTGGCCCCAAGGATAGAAAACAATGTTTGGCTAAAGGTTTGACCAGAATTTGCATTACTATTGGAGGATAGGGAAAGA